TATAATTAAAAAATATTAACATTCATTTAATTTATATATATATATTTTCCTCTCTTTTAGCTTTCACCTTTTCTACTTCTTCATATTGGCTCTAACTTTATGGCCCCATTGAAGTTTTGGCCTTCCTCTTTTACGTTTACCCATCACTTCCAAACTCTCAACCTTATTTCTTATGTAATTCATAGGCCTTCTCATTGTATGCCCATACCACCTAAGTTTGTTTGCCATTATCTTAGTCTTAATGGGCACTACCTTTAAACTACCTAGTTATCTTGTACTTCGCACCTTATCCTTTCTTGTTACCCCAGAAATCATCCTCAGCATTCTCATCTCCATAGTTTGTAGACTTCTCTCGTCTGATTCTTTGGTTGGTCATGTTTCCGAACTATATAGAATAGTTGGTTGTATTATGAAACTGTTAATTTTTTTACAGAATTATTTTTTAGAAGACTTTTACTTTTATGCCTATTATCTTTCCTCAGTTTTTTTGGTCGAGTTTTTCTTCCCTATACTTATTTTTGTTTTTTACGATTTCATTTATATATATATAAATAAGATTCTTATATAGTTAACCAAATTTAAATAGCGAAACGGAATAAGACTATAAATAATTATTTCTATTTCTATTTCTATTTTATTTAAATTTATTTTTAAAATAAAGAAATTTTCACTCAATTAATAATAAAAACCTCGTTAATTTTATTAGGTTTTTAAATTTTTATTTTTAATTTTACCAAACCCCCTTTTTTTTATACATAGTTATATAATATTATAATATTTAAAATATACTAAAAAGCAAAGAAAAAAAGATAAATAAAAATAGGTGTCTTAATAAAAATTTAAAATTTCCTCATATATTTTCCTTTCTTTTTTAATATAGTTAAAATATATATTTTTTTTTTGTTTTTTTTTATTAGGTGGGTAACCTTAATCTAAAAAAATAATGGGAATATTAATTTAATTCGCTTTAAGAAGTTTCCATTTTATAATATCTTAAAGAAACGCTTGTCACTTTTATAGGATTTTAAATCTTGATATCCCTCCGAAAAACGGTTAAAGCGGACGTTGATAAACTGTAATATCAGTTTGAATTAAGTAGCATCACTAGGAAGGAGGGGGAAGATGAGGTAAAATAATTTGCCTTTTTACCACGCCTATAAGATAAGGGTTAACGACAACCACACCTTTAATTTGTGCAAAGCGGAATGAGGTTTTTTCAAATAATTAAAGACCCCTCCCACCCCATTGATAATGGTTTTTAAATAGAGTATTGTTAAACGGCTCGTAAGGTGATTTTTAAAAACGGCTAACTCAATATTTCATCTAGAAAAATATTACGCAAGCCTGTGTTTGTAGAAGGAACAAAGGTTTGGACATCTATTAACGAAATCTCTTAGGATATATTTTTCTGGTTGACATATTGAGATAGCCGTTTTTAAAAATCGGCTCAAAACGAGTCGTTTAACAACACTTATAAAATATGCGTCATTTATATTTGCTCTGAGGATCATTTAGAAACTCCTAATTATATAAATAAGTATATATTATAATATTAATTGAATGTTCTAAAAAATTCCCTTCTTTTCTACTTGACCCCTGGGCCGCTCTCTTCTCTCTGATGAATTTTCATTAAAAATTATTCGAAAAATTATCTCTTTTGAAGGGTAATCATCTTATCGAGTAGAGGTTTTACTTCTAGCAGTAAAAATTACATTTAAATTCTTCGTCTAGTTGCCTTTTCCGTTTTTACCTCGTCACGAACTGTCATCTCAGTGTCAATTCTGACTCAATAATTAAAAGCTATAACTGACTATGAATGGCTTGAAGAAATACCCAGTTCTGACCTAAAGTCGCTCCTCATGGCAGAACAATTTTGAATATCTATCGCATACCTATGTTACAATAATACTATCTAATTGCGTTAATTGTGGTAAATTAAAAATAATGAAAATATTCTCAAACTATCTGAGAATCACTTCCTTCCTTTGATATCTTCACACCTTTTATTAATTATTTTTTTTTCGTAGTCCTATTTTTAATCACTCTTTTGGATACTATATTTAGTCATTCCTTTTTATAGAAATATGGATTTATTGCACTATTTTTTATCCGATGTTTAAATTTCTTCAATATAATATATATTTTTTAAAAGATTTGACTATACATAGGCCACTTCCAAACTCAACGTCTTTTTCAAAGCAATAAATAACAAATTCAGCTTAATAGTTGTGTGCTTCCAAACAAAAGTTTTTTTAATGTTTATGATTTTACATTTATTTTAATTACAAAGCTTGATTTTTTTTAACGATTAAAATGGATAATTATTTTTATAATAATATTCAATAAATGAAATGATTTTAGGGGAAATTTTGTATCTGATTTGATAAATTTTGTAGAGGCTCATGACGATTTATGATTAATGTAATGATAATTATCTTAATAGATTATTGGTCGTTGAACTATGGACATTATGTACTAAAAGGTAGAACAAGACTTTATATAAATCACCTAATGTTGACTACTTTATAATAAGAATTTTTAATCAATGGACTTTTTAATTAAATACTATTTATTAGTAAGCATTAATATATGAATCTTAATATTTATAATATATAAAATAATTAATATTTCTTTTTATAAATCAAAACAACATAAATCTTTATTTTAATAAAATTATTTATTTTATGTTCTCTAGTTGGAACGCATATGAATATCTTTTAAAGTTTTCAGCATCACATTCCTTTGGAATGATAGAGGCAATGCGACATTTGCTTATTCTGCTACTATAGGATAGTTAAGAGTTAAATTATAACTTGATCCTCCTGTTCTTAAGTATCTTAGATGGTTTATATATTTTAATAACTAAATATATCACCTTAAAGTGTAACAAATTGTCTAGGAGATATTGTTGTTTTTGCATTTGTTTGTATATGCATAATTTAATTTTCAATTTTGTTAAGTATGTAATAGAAAACATTCCTGGATAGTCCAAGATAGTGAAAAATTGGGAATCATTTAAATTGATATCGTTCATATACATACTCTTTAATTTACACTTACTTTTTGTTTTTTTATAATGTCTCAAAATAAAATATCTTGTTATAAGACTTATTTGTATAAAAAACAGCTTTATAGTTGTTTGATGGGAAGAAAAAAATATTGCGAAAAACGTTCTTCGGAAAACGTTCTAAAAAAACGTCGTGTTTGGAAGTGGCGATATGTTTAGGCAAGCTGGAAATATCTAAATAAACTGTAAATGCTATTGGTATGAATTTTATATACATTGTAAATTAAATTTCTAATGATTTCTTAATCTAGAAATAAACAAGTAGTTAAAATATAATTACTTGGTATATTTAATAAAGAAAGTGATATAAAATAATAACCATGTTTTCATTTAATTTATATAATCGAATTTTTAAAATCTTTCAACGGTAATAATTATTATCAAAAAAAATTAGAAAAAAATATAATATTTAATTCGCAAGGGGGTGTTTTTGTATTTTAATATTATTATCAAGAATAAAATAATTTAAAAACATTAAACTTCCTATTGCTAATTGTTGTTATAATATATTCAATTTTTATTTACAATGTTTATATTTTTTCTGTTCTGAGGCGATATTTTATTATATATAAAAAAAACATATAATTTACTTTCATATTAACAAGAAAGCTAAATTACTTGTATAAAGATTAATAATATTGATAACATTTAGATTTTGACTTTTATATTTTTAAGATATGTTATTTAACTTTAAAATTGGAATTGTATCGTTATTATAATTAAATTTTGAAATATCATTATATTCTTAGTTATAACATAAAATATAATCACTACCGAATATTCTTGTTCTACTAACTAAAAATTCCTACAGCTAATCAATACAATAAGTGATTCACTATAATATTGAATCCCTTAAAATCATTCTATAATTTGAGTTAGATTAATTAATATCTGCATTACCTTGTTTATTATAATAATTCTTTATTTAACATAAAAATAACATTATGTTTATAATGATACTTCTGAAAAAAAATATTAGACATTCATTCCTTCCTACCTTGGTAAATGATATTGGTATTTTGGGTAGTTGTTTAGTTAAAGTTACTTTTTAAGATACATATTTTACCCAATATCTGGCGATCCTTTTGACTTTAAACATAATAACCTAACCCTTACACGCCACCTTATGTAAGATAAATATTATTGATTTCCCTATTTTCTTATTATATCGAGCAATTTTTTTATTGAGTTTATATTATAAGAAAAAAAATTTCGAATTTAATTGATAAAATATATAAATAGTAATTTTTATCAATTTGCAGTTTACCTAGGCATTTGGAGTTTAGTCAAACTTCTTTTTTTGAATACGATAAAATTAATATATACATTTATATAGTTTTATATCAATATCTTTATTTTTTAAAAAAATTTGTTTTATGAAGTGTGTTAATAATAATATAATAGTTTTCCAAATTATATTTCATTATTATAAATAATATATCTAATATAACTTATTTATAAATATATATTTTATTTCAAATTAAAATTTTGGCTAATATTACTTTAAAAAAAAAGAAAAATTCAATTTAAAAAAGTGCAAATAATATAATTTTTTTAAAAAGTTAATAAAAATAAATAAATTATTTTTAAAAAATACACAAAATTTGATATTTTTAATAAATATATTAATGACATAGCATTCTCTTTTATAAGTTTATCGGCGCTTTTAAGGGGGGTTTTGATTTTGATTTCGATTGAGAAATTCTTAGTTAAAGTTTTAAGGTTGCGAAAATTCTATTTTTTTTGTAAAAAAAAATGTTTGAAATTTTCAAATTTCTGGCCTGCTGAGGACCCATTATAAATGATATTGGTTAATAATATAATCACTTTATTATAATAAGAATTCTTCTTTTTTAAAAAAAATGATTTTAGGGGGAATATAAAAAAAAATCAATTTTTATAAAAAAAAATTTCTGTTATAAAAACATAAATTTCATTCGAGTTGCTTCAAAAAATTTTGCGTTTTGAAATAGTCCGGAACGGCGATATCCAATTGAGCTATTATTTTGTATATGCTCTTTTTCCAAGATGGCTCGCGATCCCTGCAATTACAGATGGCATTAAAAAATTCTCTGAGTGTTGTCTGGCACACACTTCGAAAATGTGATGGAACCTTTATATATATTTATATATATTATATATAAATACATGTTTTTATTATTATTTGAGATTTGATAAAAAAATTATAAGATATAGGGATATTCTACTCTCTCTGGAAGTATATTTCCGGCAAAATTCTTAAAATCTTTTTTAAAAAAAACTCGCTTAAAATGAATCATTTTTAATTGGATAAATAAACAGAATCATTTATTGAAAGTGTTTTTTTTTAAATGTTAAAACTCACATTAAGCCGGAAACGTATTTTAGTTTCCAGAATACCTATCCTATAGAGCTTTGCTTTGGGTCTATTTTTTCTTAAAGTACGATTAAGGGAAAAATTAAAATTTTAAGCTAACTGTTAATGCAGGGTAAATCCGGCAGAAATAAATTCTAAATCTTGTCTAAGAAAATGTTCACCCGAGCCCGAACGGCCAGAATCTGGTCAGATCCGACTCTTGTTTATTTGGTCTGTGCTGAGCTCTACTATCCTATCAATTTTACATAATTGATCATGATATTTGTTATTGACTGATAACTCGAATTGAGTGTAAACCTATACGTTGTCCTTACGTTCAAAGATGATTAACAATTTCTCGATCATTAATGTATATTTTAAAGAAAAATGCGAATGCCCTAAGCGTTTAAATGGGCAATTAAATCTTAATATCACTCTTTACGAATATTAACTCAGCTATGGAACTGCCTATAATGAGAAAAAAAATTTAACGATTATACTTTAGAGTAGAACTCGTTAAACTATCGCAACTTATACTGCGACATGATGGTGATATTATTTAAAAAAAATGGCTCTTTAATGAATCCAAAACAAGTTTAAAATCCCCCCATCATAGTTCACTAAAATTTAGCTTATAATTTTTTCACTGAATTTGGGAATTTGGTTACTATTTACCTAAGTGGTATTGACACGCATATTTGATAGCCTGATATCTAAATTAGGCCTAAGAATTCGTAGCTAATTTTACTAGAGTTTTAATTTTATAAATTTGTATATTTTTTTAACAAAAATTTAAAAACTTGAATATGATTATTCCGATTATAATGCATGATAAGGGTCCTGTAGAGTTCGGAGCTCTCGTTTATCACCAGACTTTGATTATCTGTGGTGCCATCCGCTAAAGCTTGTCTTGCGAATTTCTCTATTTGGATATAGAAAAACTCTCTGAAGTGTCAAATTTAATGGATGATGATCGTAAATATTTTTTGTATAAAAAAAATATATATATATTATTTATATGAAAAGGATAAAAAAAATTGGCAAGAAAAGAATATTTATGCAAAATAAATCATTTAGATGGGTAAGTGCTTGTTATACCCGACTTTGCCAATTATAAAAAGGCTTATCTAATTTTTATTTTAAAAATATTGTCCAAAGCTTCTAGTTAATGGACTTCAAACTTTCGGTCAAGCTAATAGCTTGACAAAGATGTATTAGAATTGATCATACAACACTAAAAGTTATTCGATAATCATCATGAGAAGTTTCAATCGATTAGGGAAACTTTGCGATAGATAAAAGATTACCCCTTAAACTAATATATCTATATCTGGGAAAAACGAAAATTGATTGAATTTATTCTGTTTTTTCCTTTTTGATCAATAAATTTTTTTAATTAGATTCTATTGATTTTTTTTTTGATAAATAACTAATTCCAGTTTTCTCTTTCTATTAAATAGCATTTTAAATTCAAAGTCTATCATTCCATACCTATCTTTACATCAGGGCCCCCTCAAACGGTGGTAAGAATCTATAGAGAGGTACGTAAGGGAAGGGGATACTCACTTAATTAACATTCATATTTAATATCCATTTTATAATTGAATTACTCTATAATTTAGTCATCAAGGGCCCTCGGATGTAGCCTTAAGAAGACTTGAAATAATATACACGTTAAATTATTTTGAAAATGATACATCAGAAAATATGCTATATTTTATCTAACTGATCTTCAATTTATCAAAGCCATGACTAATTTATTATTATTTTATGAAACTCTACACCGACAAATGAACTAAATTTTCCCTATACATATATGTGTATATTTATATGAAAAAACTTATATATAAAATAATAAATTCTTATATAAAAGATGACCAGTCCATTTAAACCATCGTTCCTTCTATTTAAGAAGACTTAGGTTTCAAAAAAAAATCATTAAAATTATTTTAGGTATAATATTTCCTTTTTTTTTAATGCATTATAATCTTTCTTATTAATCTTTTATATAAATATATATTTTTTAAAAATATAAGGTATATTTCTCTCTGCCTTCTCCCGTTGTCCTCATCCATTTATTAAGGTGACCTTTTAGCTAAATTCCTATTGGAACGAGGTCTTATAATATAATACTATTACTTAGATTAAATTTTTTTTTTTATTTATCCAACAAAACAAAACTATGTAGATAAAAAAATAAAATAATGAAAATCCTTTTATTTTTTTTTGCTTCTTAAATTTTATTTTTTTTAAAAAAAGTATTAATTTACAAAAAAAATGAAAAATTTTTATAACACCTAAAAAGTAAAAAAAAATACTAAATTTATAATTAGTTATTTAATGTAAGTATATAAATATTTTGATCTTATTTAATGATAAATTATCCCTTCCTACGTTATAAAATCACAAAATAATTATAATTTTTATTTTTTATCCGTTTAATAATTTTTTTTTTCTGGACATATACGATAATTTGCAGGTGTATATATTTTTTAAAAAAATATATATACTTTAATATAATATAATATAATATAAAGAAATATTTCTAATTTGAGGTTGATAAATAATTTAATTTGAGCATGTCCCTAAACTAAGGTCATAGATGAAGGAAGATTGTGATTGTTAGCTAAAATTAACATATAAAATATCATTTCTAAGAAAAAATCCAAATTCTTTTATTTTTTATTTCAGTGAGAAATTTTTAAAAAAAATAAATTTTGGGGATGGGCATAGGTCCTGGTTCCTAGTAGTAGATTTTATGTTAAGAAAAAATATATGTGCGTTACTATGCCTTATTTGATTGATTAGTCCAATAAAAAAATAAATATTTGAAAAACAATTTTGGCACCCTGTTGAACAAAAACAAAAATAAATCTCGCTCTACATTTTTTTTTGTCTATCAAATGCGCCTTGGTATTTATAACATTATATATAGAATCCTTAAACAATAAATTTTATTCAAAAATAAAACAGGAAATAAAATGCTAAATTTAGCACTATATAAACTATCATTTAATAGTTATAGATAGGAAAGCAATGAACTGGCTAAAGGTAAAGTTGCCATTAAAATATGATAATCATAGCGCTAAATCTTATTAACTTTTATAAATGAATCTGTTCACACGGTATATGGTCTCAATACCATACCTAAATTACTTTCACTTAAAAATGATTTAACTAAAAAAAAACTATTATACATATCTTTCATTTACACTTTATTTATAGATTAATGAGTGGGGTTATTATTTATTAATGTTAAAATTTATTTCATTAGAAGGAAATCTTTAAAGCTGTCAGGAAAACATGGCCATTTATCATCAGTCTACCCTAACTAATTACCTTTCCTTATCGATAAAAAAATATTAAGACACATCTATTTTAAAAATGGGAGGAAGAAAAAAAAATATTGAACATAAAATCTATATGGAAAATTTAAGGAAACACACTTTCACAAAAAAAAAGGTAAAGAATTCAGTATAAAAAAAATGTATATAGATGATCGAAATAATAATATATCTCTAAAATTCAATGACGTTATCAGGACCATATAACTAGTGTTGTTAAAAAGCATTTAGTGATCTGCATCGGGCCTAATTTTTCAAGCCCGGCCCGACCCGAAATTTTTTTAAAAATGTTTTGCCGGCCCGGCCCGAATTTATTTAAATATAGAAATTAATTTTTATAATTTCTCAAAATAAAAGACATATGTTATATGTCGTTTAGTTTCAATAAATAAAATCAAATATTTTTATTTTACATAAAAAATTCAATTCTTGATCAAATTTTTTGCTTTACGATTTAAAAAAAAAATTGGAACAAATAATGTATAATTTTAAATATAAGATTTATAGGAAAGTGTTTCTGATGTTCTATGAATCCCAACAAAAGCATTTTAAAAAATAATAAAATTTAAATGAAAATCTTTTATTTATGCATCATGATCATGATATTATTTAAATCTTAATTGGAATGAGATTGTATTCTTTCTTCAAGAAATTAAATATAATTTTTATTTTATTATTTAAATTTCTTTTTTTTTTTATTAAATTTATATGATCCTGTATCAAGTCAAATATTGTCATAATGATTTTAAATTAAATAGTAATATTTAAAAAAAAAAATTTAAGCCTATCACAATCTTGATCTCCATAATATAATATAAAAAAAATATGAAATAAATATCTAATTATATTTATATTAATCTATATCTTCTTATCTAATTAATTACCACAAATAGTAATATAATTCAAATTACTTTGTACATAAATATCTATGGTATAATATATCATCAATCAGATAATATGTAATTATAATGATCTTATCTCCACAATTATCTAACTAATTAATTAAATAAATAATTTAATTAATAACGAAAATAAAATTTCAAATGTAACAAAAATGTGAAATTGACCAGGCAGCGGGACATTATATGGGTCACCTTATTTGACCTCTTATATCGTATACACGTATATTTTACAATTTATTATATTTATATTATGCTTATAAAAAGATTTCAAATGTTTATATAAGATAAATTATTAATTAACTTTAGGAAATCATAGGAAAAAAAAAATATATGATAATAATTAAATTGATAAAGAAAAATGTTTTTTAATTATTCTAAATGTCAATTTTTAAAAAAGAAAATTTAAGGACACAAAAAAATGAATGTATTAAAATTAAATTATAATATGGATTTAAAAAAAAAAAATTATTGAGTCAACTAGTGCTGTTAAACGGCTCGATTTGGGCCGATTTTTAAAAACCGCTATCTCAATATTTTATCCAAAAAAATATTAGGCTAGCCTGAAGATTTTGCTTATAGATGGCAAAAAGGTTTGAACAATCTATTAGAGAAATTAGGCAATATCTGAATTAACTAAATAGATGGAACCAGGGATTTAATTAATATCCAAAAAGCTAAAGTTATACACATAAATGTAAAATGATTCGATCTATTCATTCATAAATATCAGAGTTGTTAAAGGATCTAGATATAAGTATCTAGATCCTGTATCTAGATATAAAAATGTGGTATCTGTATCTAGTTAGATTTTTGATTAAAATATCTGTATCTAGATATTACTTTAGATGATGTATCTGTATCTAGATCCATTTAAAAAGTATCTTTAAACAACTCTGATAAATATGTATGCATGTTACTTAGTTCTATCACTGAATTAAATATTGAACTTATAAATTATATTTAACGCTTCTCTTTTCTTTTTATAAATTTCGATAAATTTTTTTAGTAAAAGGTAAGCCCTAACCACCAGGATGACTATTTATTTGAAAGTCGGGAAGGCTCCCGATTTACTAATAGATTAATATCCTCAAATTGAACATTTCTTATATCTAATTTAAATGAATATATGGGAGAATCGATTTTAGAAAAATAAACTAATTTTGGCTTCAAGTGCATATTTCAAAATAGAATAATGAATCAAAGATACTATTCTTATTTGATTGGCTGGCCTAATTGCGAATAGAAAACTATTATAATAGAATATGAATAATTTGTTATTCGGGCAGAGTTTGGAGTCCAGGGTTAAGGTTGTTTCCAAAACTTGTTTTTGAAAGTTTTAAGGGTGAACAACGTTAAAAGTTTGAAAATTGAAAGGAAAAAAAATGATACGGGCACGTTTTTTTTAATGGGGATAAATTATTATGTTATCTAAAATTATTGTTATAGCTCGAAAACTGATATTTGTTTACTATATTTCTTGACTTGCATAGAAAAAGAATCTATCGAAAACTATTTAAATTTAAATTTTTTGCTATATATTTCGAAAATTAAAAGATAAAATTTTGAAAGTTTTTCGAATTAAATTTTTTGATGTTTTTGAACAAGGTATAGCCGCATTAAAATAATTTTATATCAGCTTTAAACTAAAATTTTCTTTATCACTGCCCAGCATATGACATTGAGAATGCTATTATGTTAAATAATTCAATTAACCTTAGTTTAGTATTCTATTAGCCCCCATGTCCCTCATTAAAAACCCAATTAAAGTAATATTATGTAAGCATCAAGATTTAGCAATAGATGTCCAAGCATTTCTGCCAGATATGTACAAAATCTTTAGGGTTACAAAATGTTATTTTGGTTATAATTTTAATCGGGCGGTTTTTTAAATAGACCCGAATAGGGCTTTTTAACAACACTATCCCCCATCTTCCCTTCCCTTATATATATATATATTAGGCAAAAAAAAAATTTTTTTTAACCTGAAATTACTGAACCATTTAACCAGCTGGGCTATATTGTTTCGATTGAATTTGATATCAGCGAAATAAGTTTTAAGGATGTTCGAATTGGGATACCTGGTATAAAAGAACATCAACTTTGCTTTTCGCAAGTGAATAGGTGTTAGGCGGGCTTGATTATTGATAGTAAAATTTAAAAATATATATTAGTAATGAAAAATTAGAATGCATTTCAGAGACCAGCATGGCTACCATTTGCACCGCCCGGCCCGGGTTGTTTTAAAAAATATTACATTACTTAGACCCGGGCCGAGTTTAGAAAAATTTTTTTTTTAGCCCCGGCACGGCTATGACTACAAGTCTCTGATATATTTAGAGGCCCTATTTTGAACCTATTCTTCGAGGTAAAAGAATTTTGTCTGGGCCTCTATCCGATCCTAAATTTTAATTTAGAAAATAAGTCCGATTCCATCTAAATCCAAAAATTTTTTGTATATATTTTAAACTCTAGATATTTTTATAACTAAATCTGAAAAGGGGCACAATTTTTTTCGAGATCCAACTCCCTTCCGGTTCGAGTCATATTCTCCGGTCCGGGGTCCTATCTGATCCAAAACGGATCTTAAAATCACCGAATTCGACCGATTGTTCTATCATAGCTTACTCGGTTCGAATTTAAATCGGTCCATGCATGACTCTATTATATTATGGCTTAATGAATAAATATTTTCCTCCCTTTATACCCTGTAGTCCCCATTTAACTTGGAACATAAATACACACCTTTTTTTTGAAAAAAAAGTGGTTATTTGCAAATGATAACCTTCTATACCAATAATCATATTTTTTAAAGTTTGCTTGCAGTTATTACTTAGAATTCTGACCAATTACTCTATGTTCACTTATTTCTTCGTCTACAAGAAATGTTCCTCACAATTTGAATTTTAATCTCTACCATTTTTGGTTCATCAGTGCACGCTACCCGCTATATATTTTTTCAATAAGAATGGGGGATATGGGCTCACATTCCAAATAATAAAAGGAAAAATATACTCAAAATAAGAAAGAAACTTTTTTATAAAATTAACAAAAAAATAAATAATATAAAGAATCCATATCCAATTAATATTCAAAATTTATCGGAGCTTTCCAAACTCATCAGAGCTACTTTCTCACAACTATAGAGAAAAATCTCAGGCTTACATAATATTACTTTGGCTAAAATCTTAATTGGGTCCCAAAACACTACTGCTCCCTAAAAATGTCTTTGTCGCATTATAACCCATGTTAATCTCTTTCATCCAAAAAAATCATGGGTGATGTAGAACAATATTATTTATTCCTCATTTCCACTCTCACGTGTTTTTCTATATATTTATAACATGTATTATTTATTTTTCTTCCTCAAATAACGCGCAAATGAATCTGATGATGACCTTTGATAATTTTGTTTACCTTATTTATTTTTTTTACATTTTTTTTACTATAATAATTTTTTTTACACATAATTATGTTTTTATATATATAGAAAAATTATTTTTTGGGGTCTTTTTAATTGATTCTATTGGTATCAGTAATTTATCTTTATTTCACCAAATTTTTTTTTTTAAAAAAATCATATTGTAAGATATTTCTGGGCTTCATTAATTTGCTTAATGTTTTATAAAATTCATAATTTTATATTTAAAAAAATAATTTCTCACGTTCAAAATAAAAATATAATTATGATTACAAAATTTTTAAAAAAAATTAATTTTTTTTTTCAATAAAGGTTAATTATATTATATCATATCATATCCAATCCCAACCATCTATATAACATTTTAATATATTTGTCAAAAATTGATTATAAAGAATAAGTTTAAAATTTTTAATTTATTTTTAAAACTGTTATATTTATTATAGGTAGGTCAAAATTAACTCTAAATTATTTGTTGAAAATAATTTAAGTTGAATTAGAATATATTTTATAATTTTATATATTTTTTTCACTAGTCTTCAAGATTATTAGGGATTTAAGAATTAAAATAACCAAAATATTAAATCGCAAAAATATATAAATCGGCATCTCAGTTAATCTGTCAGCGAGATAATAAGTTGAATCAGAAAAATAATTACAATGCTATATTTTGTGTATTAACTAAACTAAGTATTATTTAAACAGCGTGACAGATGGCTAGAGCTCTTGTTCTTTTTTTAGTTTCAATTTTTCTGGAAAACTATTATCAAGTGTTATTTATATTGGTTGACTACTAACTTCTACATAGTTATGATGTGAACCTCTAAAAAAAATATGTGAAAGTTAAAATAGACACCTTAACAATATCTAATACTCATTTAGAAAAATGGGGAATGATTCTATAATATATATATTATTTGTAAGTAAATAAATGATTATAAAATTTAAAAAAAATAAATATTTTATTATTACTTATTTCAAAATTGCTGCTAAAAATTTCTGCCAATTCGTCTTTGAGTTTGGCTTTCGAATCTCTGACAGCGGAAGGGAATGTGCCGTATGATCCGTTTTGGTACGATAGGGATTTCTTATTCCTCACTTTTTTGTCAAATTTGTGGGCCGTGGGTTGAGGTTTTAGAAACGTGGGAATCAACTTAAGGTTATTATCGTTCAAATTATTTTCTGGTAGGGGAGTATTCAAAAAGGCGTCATACTTGAATTCGGGGTAATAGCCGTTTGACGTGCCGTTGACATTATTTACGAATGTATCAGGGTGATTGGAGGTGTGAGATATTTGACTCTCTTGCGTACTATGCTTGGTGAGGAATGCGTCCTTGTTTTGTTCTGCGGGATGTGGCAAAGAAGGTATGTAAGAGGCAGTATTATATCGTGGACCATAATAATTGTTGTAAATGTTTAAGTTCAGGTTTTTAACGTTTTTCTCATTGTAAAAATGGTGTTTGCCATCTTTCTGACCGTTAGTGAAGGTGGTATAGTCCGTGTTGTGCCCTAGCATTGTCCTGTAATAAGCCGCTAATTGATAATATCCATTCTGATTGTAGAAAGACGATAAATTTGCGCCATCCAGATAAGGCGAAAACGTTTTAAAGAGAGATGGGCTCGTGGTGGCTGATCCAATATAATCCAAAGTGGGCTGGTAGACTTTGAGCGCAGAAGTTATGTAGGGGACAACTTTAGGTTCAGGTTGAAATGCGACCATTGATTCCACCTTGTTTATGTTCGGTGGAATCATCTTCTTGTTAACTTTTTCATCGATATTTTGCGTGTCTGGCATATCTTCGATCGTGTCTCTATAAATGTCAAGGTTATTTTTAACTCCGCCAAAATCTTCACTATTCACAGCTGTTTCTTCAGTGCATGTTTTTCCTTCCTCCTCTTTCGTCTTTATAAAAGGGTTAGATTTAAAAAGCTCTGGATTAAATCGATCATTATTTATGTTCAAGGGGTATCCAGGAGGATATGAGTATATTGGCGCATCAATTATCATATTATTTCTATTGGCATGTGTCGTTGGTGGCGGATTAGTCGCGCAGACGCGGGTTTGATACCTCTTCAATCTTTTGCGTATCATGGAAAGATAATTACTGCTTTTGAACTGGCCTCCTGCTTTGTCTAAACGGTTGAAATAGGCGTTGTAATAGTAATTAAAGTAATTCTTGTTGGCTGCATTTTTCTTGCGCTTGTATCGGACGATACCCTCATTGATGGAAAAATATGGCGCGGGTGGAGGTTTTTCGCAAACTGATTTCTTAGCCATCTTGTTGTTTGACTGAACAATTTTCGAAATTATCTCGGTTTTATTTTCGGAACCGTTAAAATCCTGGGATGTTAAGCGTCTGATATTCCTATTATTCGGGCTCCCCTGATGGCAACTTGTAGTAAAATTTAGGCTCTTTTTTTCTAAATCATGGTACTCAAGATTTCTGTAATCGAATAGGTCGTATTCATTATTTAGGGGGCTTTTGTAATCTGTCTCAATTTTTATGTCGCTATGTTGTAATTGACTTAAATCATGTTTAAAGTAAGTTGTCTCGTGGTAAATATTAGGACAGTTGTTATTTTGGAGCTTATGTAAATCGGTATTCGTATGACACAAATTTATTTTAAATGGATCAAAATAACACGAATTTTCTAATTTCATATGGCGGCTAGATATAGGGGTGACGTCATGCGCATAATTAATTGTAGAGTGCCTTTTTTCGGATTTATAATCATCTGCGATAAGAACCTCTTTGCCTAATTTATTATTTAAATTAAGTTTCGTGCTATCGGCAGATTTAAATGTATTCTCATTCGTGTTGACATGTGTTCCAATATTCTCGAAGGACGGCTTTAGGTTTAGGCTATGATAACCATTAATACTTGGAAATATGTTATGTTTAAAAGGAAAACTCGAATCGAGTTTGTAGTTATAATTATATGGATTGTAATCGTATATATTTGGCGTTAGCCCATGAAAATGATTGACGGCTGAGTAGGAAACCTTATTTCTAGAAACCGGACATAACAACTCAGTGTTATTTAATTTATGATGCTCATCAGTTACCGAATATTGACTCGAGCTTGGTTCAATAATTTTGCCTATAACATTAGAAGAATTATCACGATAATCATGATCTTCACCTGTCGCATTGACATGGGAGGTGGTTTCATTTGTAAAACACTTCTTGTCATTAAAGCATGTGACATCTTGCCAAGCGATATTTGATAGCAATTTTTTGTCGCTGCATCGCCACAACTTTGAATGATCGTTCCTAGTCATGATAGCCTCCCCTTCATTGTTATCACTTTTGAGTATCTCCTTCATTTCCTGTTTCTCCAAAATCGCAGATTTATTTGAAACTTTACCAGCAGTAAAGGGATCGTCACTAATGACTCGCTTTCTCTTGGCTTCATTATTATTATTATGCTTGTGTTCGGAATCAACATTTTCAATCGAGCCTTTAGCGTGGCCGTTGGATTTTTCGAAATTTTGGAAATAATTACCTATTATATTATCTATCAGAAGGGGAACTAACGCGTTCAACTCCTTTTTGATGATGAGCGATATGTCTTCATTATCCCCTTTACGGTTCAATTCATTTTTTTGGAGCTCCTTTGTTTTCAATGAATGTTTGATTGCGTTATAAAAGGCTTCGATATTGGGCGAACATTTTGCTTCACCATCACGGAGAGATTTAAAATCAGATTCCCTATGGTTGTTTCCTGTTTCAATTGACACTCTTCCTTTTCCCTCAGTTGGAGCGATCGTTTTATCATTATCGAGGCCATGTTCATCTTCCTGAAATTTATTGATAATATTATCTAGTGAATTGTGTCCTTCTTTCATACACGTTTCGTTGTTATATTCTTGGTGACACGAGATTTCGTCGAATGATTTACTTCGGAAGGATAATTTTTGAAATTTATTACCTGCGAAAGAGTAATTGATTTTTGAAGAACGATTATCTATACCAATTATGTAATTTCTCTCATCGAATTTATAAGTTTCGGGCTTCTCTTTGGGCATATTGCTCTCAAAATTTGAGGCTGGCTTTGATTCGAAAGAGTTGAGATCGCCTAATTCTTCGACCGATTCCTCGGAATCATAGTGATTAATGGTGGTAATACAATTAGCAAAATTATTACAGTTATTTTTGCATTTAACCGACGATCCGCTGGATAATGTAGGAATGTAAGGTGATGACAATGCAACGTTGTCGTAATTTGAATGGATCTTATCGTATTTAAATATTGACATATTTGGTCGTTCGATCTCCATTTTCGGATTCACGTAATCTTCCTCATCATCATCATTATTATCATTATAATTAATTTTGGTGGGACATTTTGTATCAAATTTTTGGGCGGCTATTGGCTCTGAATTCACCCCATTTTGTGAGAAGTTCTGTTTAGGGAATAATTCTTCCCTCACCCTACCACCATTGCATTTGTTCCCACTAACGAAATCATAGTAATAATTGTTTTCGTTTGTGTCGTACATTTTAGCCAAGTTGGCGTAATACGAATTGTACAACAAATTTATTCCTTTGTCAGCGCCATTCGGTATGGGAATAATGGAATCTAAATTAAAGACAGTCGGGAGGAAATTGTTGTTTAAATGATTCGCATGGTTAGTGTTTCTAGGTTCTCCCGCATCTACTCTCTTCCGCAACTTTCTTGGCATAGCGAAGGGAAGATGTTCCATTATTAAATGATTTTACAAATGATCATAATATTTTCGAAAGTTTTCTTTTGGTGGTCTTTATCATAGTTTATTTTTTTTATTTAAAAAAATGTTTAAAATTTAATATAAATTTTTTTTTCTATTAATTTCTAATCAAATAAAAATAATTTTGAATAAAATTATAATATTTATTTAAAGTTTGAAAAAAAATTATTTATAAACTTGTTAAAAATATTTATTAAAAATTCTTCAAAAACTTTAATAATATTGTAAATTTTTAATAAATTTTTTATACATCTCTTTCCAAGATTTGATTTGGAGAACTTTAAAATAATTTCTAAAATTAATTTAATTTGTGATTTTTTTTAAAGAAAAATAAAATAAAATTTAATATTAAAAGTCGCAAATCCTTTTCAATAAGATTTTTTAATATTTTATATTGATTTGTAACAAAAATAAAAACAAAAAAATTTCTTTGATACAAAAAAAAACAAAGAAAATTTTTTTTTTTTTCATTATTAGGTTTAAATTAGAAAAATATATATAATTTGATTTTTGTTTTATTAAAAAAAAATATAAAATAGACTCGAATTAAATTTTAAATATTATTAAATAATTATTGATTTAATTAATTCCAATAAATTATTGTGGAAAGTTTCATCCTTTTTATAAGGACTCAAAAAAGTGTTTTGCTCAAAAAGAGAGTACTATATGAGGCTTATCTAATAGCAAATATTAAATCGAATCTAGTCTATATATTAGGTTACAAATAATTTCTTAAAAACTCTTAAGAATAATGATATCAGCTTAAAATGGTGTTAGTTTAAGAATTATTAATTTAAATATGTATTGGAACAGGTGGGGAGGTGGCTAAAAATTCTCCCTTCCCCCCCCCCCTTTTTAAAAAATTCAGAAATTTACTTAATTCTCATTTTTATGAGAATTTCCTGTTCACCCCCAAAAATAAAATATACAAAAAATAAATTTATAAATAATTAATTTTTAAGATCATGCCATACGCCGAGATTGAGGAGTGAAACCTTTGCTTGGGAATGTTGATGGAATTAGAAATTTGATCATTTTATTGCATATAAATATTTATTGTATTTATATAGATATTTATATTTACCTCAGAGGTAGTGTTGGTAAACGGCTGGTTTTAAAGCGATTTTTAAAAACGGTTGTATTTTATCCAGAATAATATTGCCTAAGCCTCTAGATTCCGCTAGTAGATGTCCAAACCTTTATTCCTTCTACAAACAAAATCTTCAGGCTTGCGTAATATTATTGAAGATAAAATATTGAGTTAGCCGTTTTTAAAAATCGACTCAAAACAAGCCGTTTAACAACACTACTCAAAAGGGGGGCTGCGTAATCATTGAATTTAAGGTGGTAAATAGTTGTGAAAACTAATCTATTCACGAAGGCTGGGGAAGTGTATTTTTTTTTTAAATTTTCTTTTTTCTTTCTAGTATATTTGATTTTATTTTTTCCCCTTTATTTATAATTAAAATGCAAAAAAAAAAATTTTGATAGTAATTTCTGGCCATATTAAAAATTTAAAATTAGCGCATATGTTAAATGGCTTGTACAAGCTTCGTTTAAACCTAAGAAAAATAATCCAATCGTAATGTAAAGCATTTTTTTGGTCCAAATAAATGTCTTGTTCTATCCGTAGTTACACCACCTGGCTTAAAATATTTTTGCTAGTGACTTTCAAAATCTAAGACCGGGAAAATATGTTTTTGAGGGAACCGGTTCTATATAAGGCATAAGGCCAACCGCCATAACCCTTTTTCTTTTTTATAGCTAAATATTTCAAATTTGGTATTTTTGTAAAACATATTCTTTACCATACGATTATTTAGAAGTGTGGGCTCCGTATTAAAAAAAAATTTTATTGATCCTAAAACCATTTTATCGCAACTTTTTCGCCAAATTTTTATTTTTGATGTTTCTTTGCTTTGCTGAGGCGAAAGTATACAACTCTTTCAAATATTATAGAATTTATATACCACGTTCTGATTTAACTTGGTCCATAATTTCTAGCTCATTTAGTAAAAATGTTGGAATCAATTAGGTATTCTCGCTACCTTCAATTCATCACTCTAAACATCATTTAAGTAAAGAAAACCTAAATTTAAGCATGCTCATATATAGAACATCAATCAACCTTTAGATAAATGATTTTCCAACTCTGGATATGAAGCACCCTACCGGTAAATTTATCCCCCAGAAAAAGTTATATTAGATATCTTATATAAATTCATACTAAAAGTGAAATTAGATAAGTGAAAACCTAAATGAAAGTAAAACAATTTTGTATAGTATTAAAATTTAATTCATCATAAAAAATTATTTTCTTTTGTATCAAGATCATAAATATTTTATTATTTACTTGACTATCTAAAAATATTTATTATTCCGTATTCAAGGGTATTAGATTTCTTAGAACTCGTTACAGATAATATAGAAGATGTGCTTGGGATGCACTGAAAATATAAAACTTGACTATCTTTATAATTTTTATAACCATGCTGCTTGCTATTTGGCAGATAAAGATATAAAATAATCTCATAATCTCAATCACATTCTATTTTAAAATTTTAGTTTTTTTTTTATTAAATTTTGAACTATATATATATATATATATACTATTTGATAGATCAGGATTAGAAAACATAATAAGATATAATGGTTGTGTGGGCGTATACTTTAAAATTCTATTATTTTTTGTATCATTTTATTTATTTTTTTTTAAATTTAGAAGATTTCTAATATATATACTATATATTATGTGTTTCAGTTAATTATTGATTTGTTGAAGATTTTTATTTTTGAAATCTCATTAATTATTCGGATGTCTAGGCTTGCAAACATATAAAACCTTAATGAAAATTTAAATGATTTCTTTATGTATATTTATGCGACAACGAATAAAAAGACCCATTTTTCAATAAAAATATATGTTTACCTATTTTATACATATATATATATTTTTTTTTAAAATACAATTAATGTTATATATATCTTTAATTAATTATTTAACAGGGCAAATATTTAATCATTTCTTGGAAATTTTCTTACTAAAAAAAATTAAAATATTTTATTTTAAATATTCTCAAAAGAAAATAGCAAATTCTTTTATTTGAATATTTATAATAACAGTGTAACACTAGAGTTTATTGCCTATATAATATTATAAATACAGATATAGAAACAGTAACCATCGTTGAGGAGAAGTAGGGAAGGGGTTCAAGTCCCTTAGAAAAATTTGGAGAGAGACTCCTTGAACGTTATTGAAATTTTATAGTTGTAAACATAAAGAAAGTTAAACTAAAATTTTTGCTGTAGTCATAGATTTGAAAGAAAAATTAGTAAAAGCTAATAAATTATAAAAAAATAACAACTATTATTCAAAAATAATAAGTGGGCATAAAGATCTCCAATATAATCTGGAGGAAACCCCACATAGTACCCCCCCACTCCAAATAGAATTTCTAACATGTATAGCAAAAAACATTATGTTGAATAATTGAGTCAGTTTTTAATTAAACAAAAAAAAATTTGATTTCCAATTCCTCCAATAGATTAAATGCGGGAGATTTACAATAAAAAAAGAAAAATTCCAAAGAAATATAAGGATTAATAAATTTCTGAAGAAGAAGTTAGGCATTTGAGGGAGAGAAACAACATTTTGATAGTTTCTAATATATAATATTAGGATCCGTAAAGGAAATATATGGAGGAATTATTTTGCTTTTCAAAGGAGTTGAAGAGAATTTAGAACTAATAAATATGTTTATTAAAGAATATTAAATATGAAAAAAATAAGCTTTCTTGATTTCAAAACACTTCTCTACTAAATGTCAACGGGAGGACACTACACCATTAAAGGTATATTATTTATTGAAAAACGTTTTTCTTTAACCTGTTCTTGAAAGATTATTTTAAGTTTAAAAATTACATGATATGATTATTGTTTTGATTTCGAATATATAGCTAAATAATTAAAACATAATAATTTAATTTATTCAAAAAAATAATAATCTTTTCCTACCCATTAATTTACTATCTGTAAAATATGTAATATAATTTAAAAATATTGCCAAAACGACGCTTAACCTTTGACATTTTATTTAATTTTTATCCCTTATTTTTTCAGCTATAAAAAAATATTTTTTTAAAATATTTTTAAAATTTTTTTTGGAGTATATATATATATATATTAAATATGGGATTTTTTTTTAAAAAAAAAACAAAGGTAAAAAGGTATAATAATATAATATAAAAATATATAATTGATAATTATTTTTGGGATGCATAGCTTTATTAACTAATACCATTATATAATGTATATCTATATCTATATTTAATTTTTAATGTTTGTATTTTTTTAATTGTATTTTTTTCTGTGTAAATTTTTTTATCCCAGATTAATATAACTGGGCATTTAGAAAGGTGAGGAAAATAATTAAGACAGATATTATATAGGTATATAACTCTGGTGGGTAAATTTGTGAGAAATTTATTATTGTATTATAAAATGTATATATAACATTATTTTATAATATATAATATAAGTTATATTTTAGGCTTTTAAGAGTATACAATGTATATTATAAGTTTAAAAAAATTAAATATTTAAGTCTACCTTAAAAACCTAAGAGTTAGAATAAAGAAAGAAAGAAATTAACTAGAATAAAAATAAGCCCAAATGATTTATTTATTTTTGATGTTAATTTGGTTGTGATTGTTATAAAAAAGCAAAAGATTTATTTGTAAAGGACTATGTGTAATTCGTACCCAGGAAGCCCTTAAAATACTACGTAACCTCAGGGAAGCCAATGATATTAATCCTCCACCCACTACCCCAAATATACTCCCTATCACCCGCCTCCTCAAGGATGATCTTACTTCTTTACCCTACGCCTCTCATGTTAAAAGTCCCTACGCGACTAATATATGCCGTTCTTAAGAACCGCACGAATTACCAAGGAAGCTATAACAATAAGAGACAATCCACAATGTTATTTGCTTTTCGATCCTCATAAATTATGTTTACCACCATTTGAA